GATATCATGAGCATAGATCCACGCAATTGGGATCGATGACATGCATCAACCAAGTCAGCGAGCCTGACCACCCGATCCCGTTAGTCGTCTTTTACGACAAGCATAGTCACCTTTTACGGCTAGCATGGGTTGCTGAAGACCTATTCTACCCCGGATCTTCACGGGTGCAGAATACTGTTTACTGTCAATCTTGGACGTGGTCAATCATTACGTTTCCGTCTTTTAGTTCGCTCTGGTGGGTCGACACGATGATATTCAATCACGAATATACAGTAAAAAACTATGACTGTTTCCTTTGTATTTCAATCTCGAGTACAGATTAAAGTGTCTATGCTATGATAACAACATTTCTTTGTTTACTGAAGCTGGGGAATTTGCAGGGAGTTTTCAGGGAATGTGGAAGTAGTCAATCAGTGTTTACATCTTTCCGACAGTCTGGTAAAAACGTGTGAAGTCAGTTAGCCGGTCCAGTGGAAACTCCACATATCGTGTAAACTTCACATAACAAAAGTATTATAACTTGTTCAACACATCTAGGCATACACTTGTAGGGACGTTGATGTCAAGTTAACACGACTGGCAACCCGTTACTGCATTACAGCGACATGTTCAACTACATCTGTCTACATTATGTTCAGATACACGTTACTGCTTGGATGTCACTCAATATATTCCGATGTTTTATGAATCAATGAAATGAAAGACACATAAGGACATGTCCCACACAATAACCAAGACGGATATGATTATCAAGACATTTTGTCACAATATATAGAATGAATATAGATTACATGTCCATGCGTTATTGTTGTATGTATTGCCATCTTTGTTTACCGGTTTCCAACTTGCCGTTCTACATCCGTGCATTATTTGCAGTTAGAGCTGCAATTAAACATGCAATATCGCATAAAATTCATAACGGCTTGTCATGAATATTCCTTGCCTTTTCTTTCTCTCTCTCGCGCGCTCTCTGTCTCTCACTCTTTTGCTTTTTCTCTCTCCCTCTCTCTTTCTCTCCATCAAGGTAGCTCCAATGCCTCATTAAAGCCTCCTATAATCCGTTCATTGTGGAACTATTAGGTACACGAGAGTCCTCCTATAATCCGTTCATTGTGGAACTATTAGGTACACGAGAGTCCTCTGATATACGTTTTAGTGGATCAGCTTTCATCCACATTGTACTTTGCTGTTGTACTATGGTTAAAGTGATGCTATCGTTAGTGTGAAACGACCATCCTGTCTCTGTCACGACTTTCTGACATAAATATGTCTCTGTTCAGTTTCAAGACGTGTTATTGTAGACCTTTGTAAAAGTCAGTCAGGTCAGTGAGTCGATTTAAAAGTATAATACTGGAGTTGAAGAAACAGCGTCTATTTAGAGTAACATCTCCGCGCGGGATGAGTCATACGTACATCATAAGCTATAAGTCGATGTGATAAACTTTCCATAACATTTCATATTCACATTTATTCAGAGGGCATAACACATTTTCATTCACTGACAATATGACAGCAATGTTTTTGAACAATAAATGGAGGGTACATATGGTTCGGTATGAATATCGGTGCTTCATTTCCATCGCCATCATGTGTCTTTCCTTCAGTGTCTGTCCCTCGATATATAACACAGGTACATATTCATATCAACTAACAGACATACTCAATCAACCGGATATGAACCATTCCTTACCAGTCTATCTCCAGTGACCAAAGGGAAGGTTCGGGTGGGCAGGCTCGGTGACTTGGTTGATTGTGTGACATCGTACCCCGACGGTGTGACTCGTGGGCGGAGTGGGCAAGCGGTCAAACGCTAGCTGGACATATTGTGTCCCGGGTTGTTATTCAGCCTTGAGACCAACAATGTTTACAGGTCTTTACAGTGTTGCCACTACCCCTGGTGTACAGTACATTTACCCTCTACACTCAAAGCAACCCACTCGTCCGATGGCAGATGACCAGATGGTGGAAACACTAATACTTTTTACCCCCGAAACACAAGTGTCAAAACATGTAATGTCAGCCTTGACAAGTGACCTAGTTCTAATATGCGTCTGTTCACCCAGCATGGAATGGGTACCCTATGCGTGAGGTGGGTGTAAAAATTTTCTAGCGCCATAAAGGCAGCTTGGGTTGTAAACTCCCCGGGGAGCTGAGAATGATAATTGGAATGAAAACGGATCTACTGGTCGGGGAACAAATAAAAACGCATTTGAGCATAAACTAGTATCTGGATATCTGCGGTATATAAATGTATAATATAATAATATAATAATAATGACGATCACAAGATTGTCTTGTCCAGACTCGATGTTGTTATAGTGTCAATATTGCTGAGTTAGGGGTGATACAACGAGCAAAATAATCTCCAGTTATGTGTATCCGTTTAAACTTTCCGGCAGTGAAGGTATCCACAATCTCTCATCAGTGTATACTGTCATGGTACATGCGTCACATTCCAACATGTCCTGAACCCACACACGAGTTGTATATATGTGTTAATACATTACGTCAGATACATCCTTTGACATTTTAATAACCTTCGCAGTCAGAATTACAGTGGGCTTTCTGTATCTCGCGTAGGAGTAATCTACCTCATTGTGGAAAACATAAAAAAACATTGTCCCTTGTTTATCGTCTGTAGTAACATGACATATGGTCGTCTAGCAGACTGTGATCTGTGTTATGTACAGCGTGGCCAAGGAGGAGGGTGTGCTGGCAGTCGCTCAGCTGGTGTTTTCAATAGTTATGTAAATATCAGAGCTCATTGACACACACATTCATGACAACTGAAGTAGAACCGATTCATTCTCAGACATGTTCATATGTTAAGATTCGTTGTTGTAATAGCAGATTATGTCTGTTTTGGACGACCCTGTGTCTACGATAGTAGCGGTGGTTTCTAAAAGATACATCAGAAGCGCTGATGAATATAATATGCTATTCTTAACACTCTGTGCCTGATTTCTTCATTCGTAAGTTTCTAGGTTATCAAATATTCATCAATATATCTACATCGCCTGAAGTAAAACGTAGTTGAGATCGATTATAAACTTCGGGTGAGTAGTGTGTCCTGGTTGTACTGGAGAAGACTTGTAGTCCAATGTTCCATATGTCAGTCGCTACTGTAGATATGATACGACCTGGGAGCTTCGTAGTTTGTCCTATTATTTTATTTGTAGCAACTCACGGGACATAATTGATTTCTTTGTACAAACAATGTTTTCCCGATAACAATAAATTACGTTGTCAGATGTGTCACAAGGAGCGCGGATCGATCAATTTTGATGTAAAATTAATGCATTCCATGGAAACAATGAGGTGCACACTCATGGTCTGCTTAAACTCAGTTTTGTCAATAATTCATGGATTTAAGGAATCAACAAAGACGCTTTTCAAGCAGGGGGTGTAACAAGATGTGCTATTCAGTGTAAACAGGCCGGGGAAGTAGCAGAGCTCCGGCAACAGCGAAGAGGCTGAAACCGTCGATGCGTGTCTCTGTTGCCAGTAACATCTTAAGTGAAGCATAGACTGAAGTCTCTGTTAATGATGTGTTGTCACACTACTCTCCAATATGAACAATATTGTTAATCATATCAAACATTAATGATATTTATATCACAGCTTTGTAATTTGCATAAGAGGTACGTTCGACACAGATGAGAAAAATCTTGCTGACATATTGCCTGTGATGATTTTAAGTGCGAACGGGTATATGCATATGCTCTATTTGAATGCTGTGTAGTTTTCACATTCTTTTCCTCAACTACCCACCCCACCACAACTGCCCTCAACCCCACCCCCAACAACCACCCACCCGTTACTACCTTCATCCTCACCCCCTACACCCACTCCACCCAAACTACTCTCACCCCCTACACACACCCCATCCAAACTACTCTCACCCCCTACACACACCCCACCCAAACTACTCTCACCCCCTACACACACCCTACCCAAACTACTCTCACCCCCTACACACATCCTACCCAAACTACTCTCACCCCCTACACACACCCCACCCAAACTACTCTCACCCCCTACACACACCCTACCCAAACTGCTCTCACCCCCTACACACACCCTACCCAAACTACTCTCACCCCCTACACACTGCCCACCCAAACTATTCTCACCCCCTACACACACCCTACCCAAACTACTCTCAACCCCTACACCCCCCCCCCCGCCCTAACACTCCTCATCCTTACCCTCGACACCCACCCCACCCTAACTACCCTCATACCCACCCTTTAAACAAACTCCACCTCAACTACCCTCATCTTTATCCCTACACCCACCCCGACTACCCTCATCTTTACCCCTACACCCACCCCGACTACCCTCATCTTTACCCCTACACCCACCCCGACTACCCTCATCCTCATATCCCCTACACCCACCCCGACTACCCTCATCCTCATATCCCCTACACCCACCCCGACTACCCTCATCCTCATATCCCCTACACCCACCCCGACTACCCTCATCTTTACCCCTACACCCACCCCGACTACCCTCATCTTTACCCCTACACCCACCCCGACTACCCTCATCTTTACCCCTACACCCACCCCGACTACCCTCATCTTTACCCCTACACCCACCCCGACTACCCTCATCTTTACCCCTACACCCACCCCGACTACCCTCATCTTTACCCCTACACCCATCCCGACTTCCCTCATCTTTACCCCTACACCCACCCCGACTACCCTCATCTTTACCCCTACACCCACCCCGACTACCCTCATCATTACCCTCTACACCACCTCGACTACCCTCATCCTCATATCCCCTACATACACCCCCATACCCTCAACCTTATACCCTGTACATCCACCCTAACTTCCCTCATCCTTACCCTGTACATCCACCCACCGTCAACACATACACACGCAGACCCACACCTTAAACAAATCACCCTGCACACCAGTTGCGTGTAGTAAGGTACTATTTTCAATATCAATATATCCCATTGTTGCAGTGACGTTTGAACTTACCAATGTTGACGATGCGCACGCCGTCCCTGGATATGGCATCAAGAGCGACTGACACATTCTGCAACTTCTCATAATGGTTAGCAGGGTTCTTAAGAACACCACCGAATCTCCGATGCTGTAGTTCCTCCACGAGGGCCAGGAGGTTGACACCGTCTTGGAAGTCGGTCCTGACGTCGTGGATAACAATGTTCCTTGACTTCAGCTGTTCATTCAGCCAGTTGGTGAAAGTGTTCTTCTGAATCTGCATCCGTTGTGCCAGATCTGGGTAATGAAGGGACTCCCTTGCTCCGCCAAAGTGATTCATATTTATCTATTTTTCACTACAAATCTCCAACAATCCAGGCGAAGCACTTGAAATGCGGTAAAATTGACACTAGGAATCTACGTTCTACACCACGCTATCCATGCCCGCTGATGCGACAGACACGTTATCGACAACCCAATAACAACACACGCGTACGTCCAGATCCCGGGGGTGAGGGCAATATGGCATCCCTTCTGCACCCCTCTCTGCCGGGGCTTTTGCTACAGTGTAGGAGCGGCTGACCCGTTGAAGTTGGTGAAGGCAGGTATGCAATATTCAGTCAATCGACAGAAGACCTATTTGGCTATTCACCTTCCCACAATACCGTCACACAAGCCATTCGCTTCCCAAACCGGTTTTCTAGTATAGCGAACACCATGCCGTCTCCTCAGTGGGGCCGTGTTTACCTGTTATAACTTAGAGATATATTTAGTTTACCTGTCTCCCCGCAGTGATATTGTGCTACACCCCCTCCACCCTGGGATGACTGGTGTTGACAGTCAGCATGACCTGGTCAGGTCACCACCCTCATCTGATATTGGCAACTGATTGACAACACTGATCATGCAATGTACCACTCGATAGAGTGAGAGACATGTACTTTACGGCAAGCACGGCAATACCTCGTGACCTGACCTGTATTGATGGAGTGCACGTAATTCAAACAAGGGTTTTAGAGCCTGTAAAAGTATAAGTACACAAATCAACTTGGAAATATATATATGCTTATGTTTTTCCATTGTGCTACGTATACGAACGTGCAGCTGAGGATTTTATTTCCAGATTATGGTAGTGGGTCGCTACTGGGGATTTGTCTTAAATCCTAACACAATGCACAGTTATCCGCTGTAACTAATGCCTGTTGTTACTAGACTCTGTAATGATTACTTGGTTCAGAAGATTAAACTCCAGTTACCTCGAACTTCGAGGGGCAAATTGGAAGCTTCAAGGAAGCCAGTTTCAAAAATGATTAAGTAAACAGTGTCGTGTTGTAAAGCTAACTGACTATATTCGAGATATTTCGAAATATCTTCGACTTAACCAGAGTGGATATTCAATCTTATTTATGATTTATTTAAAAAATGAAATACTTACCGAATACTAAATATGTCACTTTTTGTGTTATAAGTTCAAGCATGCTACTAGTCCCCCCTTGTCATTAACCCCTGTTCAAGCATGCTTTTAGTCAACCCTTGTCATTAACCCCTGTTCAAGCATGCTACTAGCCCCACTTGTAATTAACTCCTGTTCAAGCATGCTTCTAGATGCCCCTTGTCATTAACCACCCTGAAAGCCTGCTACTAGTCCACCCTTGTACCTAATCACTATTCAAGCAGTCAACCCTTGTCATTAACCCCTGTTCAAGCATGCTACTAGTCCTGTCCTTGCCGTGAACCCCTGTTAAAACATGTTACTAGTCAACCCTTGTCATTAACCCCTGTTCGGGGATGCCACTACTCAACCCTTGTCATTAACCCCTGTTCAAGCATACTTCTATTCAACACTTGTCATGAACCCCTCTCCAACTTGCTTTTAATTCCCGCCCATTTTCATTAACCCCTGTTCAAACATGCTTCTAGTTCCCCTCTTGGCTTTAATCCCTGTTCAAGGATGCTACTGTTCTCGTCATTGTCATGAACCCCTGTTCAAACATGCTATTAGTTCCCAAACCCTTTTCATTAACCCCTGCTCAAGCATGCCACTACACCCCCTTGTCATTAACCTCTGTTCAAGCATGCTACTAGTCCCGTTCTTGCTATGAACCCCTGTTCAAGCATGCTATTAGTTCCCGCCCCTTTTCATTAACCCCTGTTCAAGCATGCTATTAGTTCCCGCCCCTTTTCATTTACCCCTGTTCAAGCATGCTACTTGTCAACCATTTCCATTAACCCCTATTCAAGCATGCTACCGTCCCGTCCTCGTCATAAATCCCTGTTCAAACATGCTATTAGTTCCCGCCCCTTGTCATAAACCCCTGCTCAAAAGTATGCTTCTAGTCCCCCCTTGCCATTAACCACTAATTAAGCATGCTATTAGTCCCCCCTTTTCATTAACCCCGAAACAACCATGCTTCTAGTCCCCCCTTGTCATTAACCCCTAATCAAGCATGCTTCTAGTCCCTCCTTGTCATAACCCCTGTTCAAGCATGCTATTAGTTCCCGCCCCTTTTCATTAACCCCTGTTCAAGCATGCTATTAGTTCCCGCCCCTTTTCATTTACCCCTGTTCAAGCATGCTACTTGTCAACCATTTTCATTAACCCCTGTTCAAGCATGCTACTAGTCCCCGCCTTTTTTCATTAACCCGTGTTCAAGCATGCTACTTGTCAACCCTGTTCATGAACCCCTTTTCAAGCATGCTACTAGTCACCTTCTTTTTTCATTTACCCCTGTTGAAGCATGCTACTAGTCCCCGCACCTTTTCATTAACCCATGATCAAGCATGCTACTAGTTCCCGCCCCTTGTCCTGTACCCAATTTCAAGCATGCTACTAGTCCCCGTCTTTTTTCATTAACCCCTGTTCAAGCATGCTACTAGTCCCCGTCTTTTTTCATAAACCCTTGTTCAAGCATGCTGCTAGTCTACCCTCCTTCAATTAACCCCTGTTCAAGCATGCTACTAGTCCCCGACTCTTTTCATTAACCCATGTTCAAGCATGCTACTAGTCCCGCCCTTTTTCATTAACCCCTGTTCAAGCATGCTACTTGTCCCCGCCCCTTTTCATTAACCCTTGTTCAAGCATGCTGCTAGTCTACCCTCTTTCCATTAACCTCTGTTCAAGCATGCTACTAGTCCCCGCCCCTTGTCATGAATCCCTGTTCAAGCATGCCACTTATTGCAATAAACAAACACGGCGTAAGTACAAATGATAATATGAGCGTGGGACACAAGAAATGGGCTTCACACATTGTACCCATGTCGGGAATCGACCCGGGTCTTCTGCGTGACAAGCGTGCTCTTTAACCCACTCTTCTACCGGACTGTCCCGTAAGGCTGTGACGTCTATTGTGACGTCATTGAGCACCGCAAAACTCATGTCTGTGTGACTCAATGGAGGTGAGTGTATGGCATAAACAGACCAGTAGAGCGTGTGGAATCATTATCACACGTGTGTTTCGTAGGTATGTTCAACACGCTTGTCTTGAACCAAGTGGCTGATAGTTAGTGTTGGACGAAGATTATGAAGAAATCAGATCACGATACGTGTGAGTTGGTGTATGTGTGCTTCTGTAGACAGCTTGTCCCAGGAAAACAAATGAGGGGGCGGGGATGCTGTGGGAAGATACAGCGAAGGAGATATTTTCTCACGACCTCCGAGCACTTATCGGAAATCAGGTCCATCTGATCACACGATCAACGAGTGAATTCCCTTTGCTGTGCAGAATTACTATATGAAGCATTGCGTTTCAAGTTTTAGCTTTCGATGTCGTTGTATTTGTCTGGAAGTACATGTTCAGATGTTGTTATATACTCCGTGAAAATATTAAAAAGACTTTTCGTGTTAATATTTGAGTTGATAGCTTCAGTCAGTCAGGTTTGTTTCTGTAGACGACTATTAGTCCCATCAGGGCCTAGACCGGACCATCACAAACATCACGTGCTTGTCATCTGCTTGACGAGCAGTTCAATAATACCACAGCTGAGGGGATAAAGCCTTTTCTCAACAGAATTAAATAACGTATTTCCTTGTGAGCGGTTTCTTTATTTCCCCATCCAGAGTGGGTAGAACTGTACTTATGTTAAATATGCACCAGCCTGGAACAGTTTTGTTTAAACTCAGACGGGCGCAGTCAAGCATCAATGTACACGACATGCATATATGCGTGTGACATCATGTAAGCTTTGAATTATTTATGTCTCAGGGCTGAGACTTAAACCCAGGAGAACACAGCTTACAACAAACGTAAGCACACGCCCATGGAATGGCCATAAAGCCAAAATACGTACACAACCGTACGTATTCACATACGCACACACACACGTACGCAAATCCGCAGGCACACAAACAGATGGATATTAACACGCATACACATGCACATCGACACTCATGCGCTCCCAGTGTATGCATTGACACGCACACAGGTACGTACGTTATCGCTTACATCTAGGGGAGACATGTCTTCACGGATACATGTTTCAAATGGTACATGTATATAGATAAGTATGTAAGGAGTGGTCGAGTCTGACGAGCAGGCGGATCAATCATTCAATGATGTAGAGGTATACTTAAGAGGTAATACGTGTGATCCTCAGGGAGGCTTTTCAGTGTAAGAATAAACACAGCCGTGGTGCACATTCCTTGAATGCAGTGATGAACAGGACTATCTGGGTATGTCGCTCCCAGTATGCACTATCTAGGTATAGCTGGGTATCCAGTCATACGCGACCTGGTTAGACATAGGGGGTATGTATATCTTCATAGTGCACCAGGGCATCCCGAGAAAATGGGAAGATGGTTTTCTTACATTTGTTGCTCGGCATACGGCTGATTAGTGTTTGTACTTGAAGAAGATTGTGTGTGCGAGTGGTTTTAGAAGACTTGAGACTTTAGAAGATGTGAGGTGAGGTGAGGTGAAAATGGGTTTAACAGCGCGTCCAAGATTATTGCACTTATATAGCGACGTGCATGTACGTGTGTGTGTTTGTGTGGCTGCTTGTACTAATCCGGACTGATGCCGATTTATAGTGCCACTGAGATACCATGCCGCAGTTTAACATGAATACCTCACTCAGACACAGTATTCTGACGCCGAGCCGACCAGTCCTTGTTTTAGCCCTTAATGCCGAGCGCCAGACAGGGTAACAACAAGTACAATCTTTTAACGTCTTTTGGTATGACGCGGCCCGGGATCGAACCCTGGACCTTCCGCTCTCCGGGCGGACGCTCTACCACTAGACCACGGAGGCGGTCTAGAAGATGTGAGCTTGGATGATAATAGCAGTCTTTGTCCCTGTATCGTACGTCCTCGGGGCGGTGGGGAGCCTTGTAAACCTTGCACGCTCACTCACTCACTCACTCACTCACTCACTCACTTGGAATCCCCGAGACGATGCATGTAACATGGGCCCATCCAGCAACGTCTCGTACAATGCGACTTAATGGATTAATGGAACGGGTGGTCAGTCTCAACGACTTGGTGGTTTGTGTGTCATCTGACCCAGATGGCGTGGATCGTTGCTGACAATATCAATCACTGGATTGTCTGGTTTAGGCTCGATTATTTAAAGGTCGCCATCACTTAGCTGAAGTATTGATGAGTGCGACGACAAACAAACAACAAACAAACAAACAAACAAACAAACAGACATCAGAATGTAACAGTGACAAAGAACAGAACTCAATCTAAACATCGATCACTTTATTCTATAAAACATTTCGAGAACTATGATATAAATATAACAACATGTATCAGGCACTTTTGCGTAAGTCTGTCTCGCGAAACTGTCATTTCTTGGACAATAATCTGAAATGTGATGATAACGATATAACACACACTCTGTCAGGGGCCACCAACGTCACGTCTGCCTGGAGAGTAGTAGTTCGATCCCGTGGCCATGTCATACCAAAAGACGTTTAAATACGGTACTTGTTGTTACTCTGCCTGGCGCTCGGCATGTGGTAAAAGAAGGACAAATCGGCTCGGAGCTAGCAAAGTTACATTGCTGTATAGGATTTCATTGGGGTCGCACCATGACATAGGCACAAGTCCGGACCAGTACAAGCACACACAAGTCCATGTACGATTCTATATGAGCCAAGAAACTTGAACGCGGTGATAAAAAACACATTTCTCGTAACATCATTAATATTTCATAAATTGAATTAATTCTCGTTTTGCTTAAACGAACCTAAGGCTATATACATCTAGCACATGAATTAGATTATCAGAGGATAGATTCTCTTCATGCAGACTGTTTATCTAAATACGCCAGTGCGCCTATTAAACTGGGGGTACAAGAGAGCCTACGTGGGCGGGACGTTGATGACATCTGAACAGAAAGATTGTCACAATGTCTTAGTCACATGGAATCTCTCAACACCAACACATGGAGCACATCAATTATAACGAAATGATCTTTTCAGCACACATTTCTTCCAGCAACTGTTCTTCACAACCCTATTTAGTCACGTGTGACTTGCCTGGATCAGGTGTATGGAGTCCATGTTCAAGCAGCCTTCACTAGAACCCTTGTCGTGACAACACTGTGTAAGGCACGTGCAGTGCAGACCACTTGGGGAATATGATGACGCGCAAGGTCAGGGTTCACGACCTTGCTTTCCAGCCACACGGAATTAGAAGGATCAACGAGGAGGAAGTCAGAGATATAGCTGACATGACGAAAGGCCACTTGTAGGAATGGGTGTCGTCGTATACCCAACCTGAAAAAGACAGGTATACATTTGTTTGTTTGTTTGTTTGTTGTTTAACGCAGCAGTCAGCAATATTCCAGCTATATGACGGCGGTCTGTAAATATTCGAGTCTTCACCAGACAATCCAGTGATTGACATCATGAGCATCGAATTGGGATACGATGACAGGCATTAAGCAAGTCAGCGAGCCTGACTATCCGATCCCGTTAGTCGCATCTTACAACAAGCATAGGCATCTCTTATGACAAGCATGGGTTTGCTGAAGATAAGTTCTAACTCGGATCTTAATCACTTAGACAATACTTCGAATGTAATTCAGAATGATCAAATCACGATAACATGTCTCTGATTGAATCAGATGACGAACAGGGTCATATCAGATGGATGGCTGAATTCAACATACCTCCAAACTGACTTACATTATTGCTCATTTCTTAACAAGTTCATATAAACAAGGTGTTAAACTACTGGTTAAAGCATCCTCGCGTCATGTTGCAGGGTCGGGTTCGATTCCCCACATTGGCACAATGTGTGAAACTCGTTTCTGGTGTCCCTTAACCTTTTTAAGCGGGTCTGTTGCCAAAAGTGAAAAATCAAATTCACTCTCTCACTCAAATGAACAATTAAATGCAGCTGACTGCATGGACCCGTACCGATATAATGGTGAGTTACACCTAAGATCTCTCTGTCAAAGGCAGCGTCCGCCCGGAGAGCGGAAGGTCCGGGGTTCGATCCCGGGCCGCGTCATACAAAAAGACGTTAAAAGATTGTACTTGTTGTTACCCTGTCTGGCGCTCGGCATTAAGGGGCTAAAACAAGGACTGGTCGGCTTGGAGTCAGTATACTGTGTCTGAGTGAGGTATTCATGTTAAACTGCGGCATGGTATCTCAGTGAGCTAGCACTATAAATCGGCATCAGTCCGGACTAGTACAAGCAGCCACACACACACATACACGTGCATGCACGTCGCTATATAAGTGCAATAATCTTGGACGCGACGTTAAACCCAATTTCACCTCACCTCACCTGTCAAAGGCAAAAGCTTTTTTGCTGTATCATGTTTTGCCCCATGTTAGAAACTCCTGCTCGATTGACGGGTATAGGAGAGATTTTACCGACGCTTCAAACTATACCTCTTCTTTTTTTCATGTAAGTTATTTTTGTCTCTTTCAGTGTGGTATTAAAGGGGAGCTCAGAGTGGTACGGTGTACATACGCTGACCGCTTACACAGAAACCACGATGGTACCCTGTCTTGCGCTCGGCATTAGGACTGGTTGGCTCGGAGTCAGTATACTGTGTCTGTGTGGGGTATTCATGTTAAGCTGCGGTATGGTATCTCAGAAGGCAAGCACTATAAAATTGGCATAAGTCCGTACACACGCATTCACGCACGCACGCACTCACGCACGCACACGCACACACGTGAACACCTACTTGGCCTACCTCTATCGTGCACACATACAAATGCGCACACACATAAAGACCTACTTGGCCTACATCTATCGTGCACACATACAAATGCGCACACACAAGAAGACCTACTTGGCCTACCTCTATCGTGCACACATACAAATGCGCACACACATAAAGACCTACTTGGCCTACCTCTATCGTGCACACATACAAATGCGCACACACATAAAGACCTACTTGGCCTACCTCTATCGTGCACACATACAAATGCGCACACACATAAAGACCTACTTGGCCTACCTCTATCGTGCACACATACAAATGCGCACACACATAAAGACCTACTTGGCCTACCTCTATCGTGCACATATACAAATGCGCACACACATAAAGACCTACTTGGCCTACCTCTATCGTGCACACATACAAATGCGCACACACATAAAGACCTACTTGGCCTACCTCTATCGTGCACACATACAAATGCGCACACACATAAAGACCTACTTGGCCTACATCTATCATGGAATACATAGATTGAAAAGTAACAACATCGCTGAAGTACTGCCGACGTAACTATACAATTTAACTCACAAAGTATGCAACGTCAATAACCAGTCTCGATTTTCCAACGAAATAGATTCATGAGGTGTAAATGGCAAAATAACTGTGAAAATTATGTGAATGGATCACTGACATTATTCACACCAGGTGTTTGGAAAAAAACAATGCATTATATAATGGAGATACTTATAGAATAAAATAATATTAAATGTTTATCCGCTGGGTTGATATGAATGCTGCCCTACTCACCCGCTATAGGTGCACCAATCAGATAGCCCACTGCAGTCACGAGGCTGTAGACGCCCAGAGCCAAGGCAAAGTTGTCTTCCCCGGCCAGACGGATCATCATGGCAGGCAACACAGCACCTCCTCTACTTGCGTAGCAGATACTGAACAACACGACATAGCCATACAGCACTACCAGGGAAATATCAAAGAAAAACACGAAAGTTAACAAACCGCTCAAAATCCCAAAACCAATGTAGAGAAAAGCCGGATTGACCCTGTTGTTTGTCGCCAGGAACCCGTGAAGAAGCTTGCCCACGGCTGCCGATAAACCAAAGGCTGTGTAGGAGAGAGCAGCCGTGAAGGAATCAGTGTGGTAGTAGTCAAGGATGTGCGCTGAGAGGTGGCCTGTTAGAATGCTTCCTCCAAACAGTGATATGATACCGCTGAGTAAGAATAAGTAGTATCCTTTGCTATTCTCCAGAGATCCATGCAACCGTTTGTACCACTTCTTCTTTCGAGAGGATGGGTGCTTTATCACCTCTATTTCCATAACACTGCTCTTTCTTCGTTTCTTACCTTTTGCGATTTTCTTAAATGTCTTATTTGATGCGACAATAACCTTATTTTGGTAGTTTGTGTCGTTGTCAACGAATTGATCCTGTGTGGCTGATTCGCCAATATCTTCAAATGCTAGGTTGTACACGCCAGCATCGTGACCGTTAGCCTCAATCTTAGTTTTGATTATCTTGGAGATCTCATGGTCGGTGACATCGTCCTCAAGGTCATTCGTAGCATCTTCAAAGTTTTCATATGTACTATTTATAGGAGTGTTGTGCTCATCTGTACTCTTTTCGGGAGTGCTGTCCTCATCTGTACGTTTTTCAGGAGTGTTGTCATCATCTGTACTCTTTTCTGGAGCGCTGTCCTCATCTGTATGTTTTTCAGGAGTGTTGTCTTCATCTGTTCTTTTTTCAGGTGCGTTATCGTCACTGATAGTTTCACAGGTATGTTCACTTTCCTTCTCCCCGGCTGCAGCAGCAGCAATGTCTTCTTGTTCATTGGCCTCACTATCTTCTTGCTTATCAACAGCGACATTTTCTGGAGGGGTATTTAGATCATTGTCATCAGACAGTTTAATAGATGTCACATTTTGCGTATTTGTGTCTGGAGCCTCATCACTGGTGCTCTCCATGTCGTCACTAAAATCGTCTTGCATTCCCACGTCAACTTCATACACCCTGACTTCATCACCTGGCTCAAATTCCACTATTCTCTCTGTGACGATGATATCGGTCAGAATATCGCTGACTATATCCACGTCATCATCCGGGGACTTTTGGTAGAGACCTGGAAACAAGTAGGCTGTCACCACGATGTTGAGGTAGAGAGCTGCCATCACTTGAAACATCCCTCTCCAGTACAGAGTGTCAATGAGATACTGCAACAGCGGCGGATAAACGACCACACCCATACTACTGATGAAACCACCAAAGCCAAACGCCAGGTTCCTGTGTTTAGTAAAGCTGACCTTCAGGGCTTCGAAAGACCCAATGTAGGTTAGGCCTGATCCTATACCTGAAGGAAGAGACGGCATCGTTATGTCCATGTCCATTGTCAAACTTGGTTTTGGTTTGTTTGAATGTATTTTTGTCTTACGCCACACCCAGCAATATTCCAGCTATATGACGGCGGTCTGTAGATAATCGAGTCTGGGCCAGACAATCCCGTGATTGATATCATGAGCATAGATCCACGCAATTGGGATCGATGACATGCTTCAACCAAGTCAGCGAGCCTGACCACCCGATCCCATTAGTCGCCTCTTACGACAAGCATATTCCCCTTTTACTGCAAGCATGGATTGCTGAAGACCTATTCTACCCCGGACCTTCACGGGTCTGTCCAACTTGAACCATGAATGTATATTAACTATGTTGATTGGTAGGTATTAACTATTGTTCCTAAATCTCCCTGCACTTGTGAAGACACATGTCATAACAAGGTTAGTTAGTCTAACGCAATACGCGATGCCATATAACAAGATAAACATCTTCTTTCGTATCTTTGCCTACATTGTCTCTTTGTTTGTTAACGCACTTAGCAATACTCCAGCTATATGAGGGCGGTCTGGACCAGAAAAATCAGTGATTTATATTAGTATGTTGTGCACGGAGCAGTGCGAACACCCACCTGTTCCAACTAGACAGGAATACTGCTATGATATCAGCTACAGTTATACACGATATAAACTCTAGTGGATAGAAATAAATAATTGAAAATCAGCATAGATTTGTTATTTGCAAACTTTTCATATATCAATCAATTCAGTACATTTTGTATTAAATCTGTTACACAATTAGTTTTTACCGTTTTTGGTCATAAAGGATTATCATATTGTAGCATTTCTTAGGTAGCCAGTACATTAACTTTAATTCAAGAATATAGTACATTTGACATCTACCACATTCGCAAAAAGCCATAATACTAGACGTATTTACATTTGAAACCACATATTTCTTGTAAGCATAGAGATTTATGTTCTCTATCGCATCATAAGGATTTAGTCCCAAAATGTCTGACCCATATAACATCGGATTCACTTTCACATTAAATATCTTAAACACGGAAATGTAAGATATATAACCGGGTGTAGTTGAAGGAAGCTAATGGAAATCTGTTGTGAAATGTATATCTAAATACTTGTAGAAAGTAATAGTTTCTAAAGTATTGCCTATATAAATTCACTTTTCATTTTCTGCCACTTCTAAGACGACTTTTGTAGATACGCTATTCACAGTTAATTTTCCTTCCTCACAATAGTTCCCATGTTCAACTGACTAAAACTAACCCCCCTAATCCTCTACGGTCTGCTTGATGTTGTTTTATCAGTGTTGGGCACTCTAGGTGGTAATCGTTGTTACCCTGCCCGGAGCTCGGCATGAGCGGGATAACACAAGGCCTGGGACACAGATCTGACACTGCACACATAAATGGCCTGACCAATAATGGAAAGTGATCTAGGTATTTGAAGTAGTTGAACTTCGTTTACACTTTACATTAAATAAAATAAACTTATAAACCACTTCAATAATATCTTATGGTGAGAAATGAAATATATTATAAAACATTCAGATCCCTGTGAACGTACCTGCAACGACTCCAAATGTTATAAATACATGTTCGATTTTCGTCGCAAACCCACTTGTCAGCATCCCCAGGAACATGATCGTTCCTCCAGCCATGGTGGTGATCCTGCTGCCATAGCGCTTGACAAGTATCCCCCCAACAGCACCTAGCATGCAACAAAGTCCGTGTTTACTGAGCGGCCAGGTTGGTAGAGCTTCTATCTTAGCAATTGCAAAACGACATAGGCTTTATCAACTTGATCCAATCCTACAAGTATTAAGGACTAAATGTACTCACATGGTTAAACTGAAGCTGAAAATATGCATACGCCACAAAGAAATCCTTCTGATATCTGACACGTAATTATCTAAAATCTAAAGCAAAACATCTTTCATCACTACTATCATTTGGGGTTGACATTTGATCATCTTGCAAAAGAAGGTAGGTAAGGGTTATAAAGTGTTTTCATTTCAAAATGACAAAAAATGCCACCTCCATAGCATCTGTTAAAAGCACATGACTGTAACGGCTCAGCATCAACTATATATCATTGTGTTAAGTACTTAGGTTTAACATATACTTATGAGGATAATTCTACATCAATTAACGTATTAATACGTTCGCCTCATTTCATATTTAAACAAGTTTATTCGCAACTCCGGCAAAGGGAAAAACATAAATTATCTTTTCAATGTTTGATGTGTACATTTGAAAAGGATTTACGAAAGCAAAGTGAATGTTGTCCATTTAATTGTTACGTATCTTTCAATTAGTAAGAGAACGTTTCATTTATTCATTGAGAAAAGATGACATACAAACCACATAAAGATGTAGCTTCCGACTTCGGAGAGAAGAACAATATTCAACTTAAGCCCTATTTCTTTATTACTTGGTTTGAGATGATGGGGCGGGCAAGTTTGGTCAATCAGTGATGAAAGAAAAGCGATAAATACCCTATAAATAAAAGAAGAATCGATTCTGCCATATCATAAGCATGTGTTTATGAATCACGATCAAATGGTGATGACAAACGTGAGCGTAACCTGCCACTCCGGTGGCACCGTCACAAACACATGCAAAAACAAGTCAATTGTTCACCTGAAAACACACATGACCATATGGTACAAGTCAAAATAGGGAATTGCATCAAGCATCATTTACATACATGTTATTGCATTAACGAAATATTGCAAAGTTGTAATCCACGAAGTTATTCCAGAAGTAAGCTTGAATTCTTGCAGGAGAGCGACATAAAAGATCCCCGAGGTGAACTTAAGCCCGCTGATGAAGAGCCTTATCCAAGAATTGGCCAAGAGAACGACAACGTCATGGACACCCCCCATAGTTATGAGACAAATCACTGCCAGGCCGGGTATTTATAACAGCTGACAATGACAACTGAAAGTCACATGGGGTTGTCACTATCAGCTGAGAGGTTTGTAGCATTCCTACACACGGCCCAACTGGAGAATGAGAATAAAATCAAGGAGTGCTGACCAAATTTGGACCTTCAAGGCAGGATGCTACACTCGACACACAAATTTATTATTTGCAGTGTGCCGGCTGCAAGGAAGGTACGAGATATGAAGACGTGTCCCACAAATTCTGACCAACCAGGTGTTGTTGACTGTGTTAACATTGCACAGTCTCAAGGACCACAGGGATAAAGGATGCATTCAAGGGCATTTTGTTTATGAGGTTATCAGTGCTATATATATACTAAATGCAATATGACTTCTGAACTGCTTCTTTATAGTGTTGAGCTATGTTAGACGTAACAGCGGCTAGTCTGCCAATGTAAATACTTAACATTATGACATTGATAGCCTAAACCGATTGTCCCCTGGGTCGTGTCAATAATCACACCCATAAGTCCCATGTTCAGGCAGAGCCATTGTCTGTTCGTCTGTCCGTTGCTATATACATGTTTACATCTATATATCCGGGTAAGAATAGATTTTTAGCAACCCATGCTGGTAGCAAAGGGCGACTAACGGGATCGGAGGGGCGAGGCTCGGTGGCTTTGTTGATGCATGTCATCGTATCATCACTAGCGTCATACACTGGCTGGATGGTCTGGTCCAGACTTTTATTTACAGACCGCCACCATATAGCTGGTATGATGATGAGAGCGGCGTTATATAAACAAACCCCAAAACAGCTATTCCCAATTATTACACAACCGCTGTGAAACGCCCCCAGTTCAGTTCTGGACATGTTCTTTTCATGTACTGTTCCTCTAATTTTCTGCTTGTAATTTCAGCCCGTGAATATTCGGGTAGACAATACGTCTTCAGCAACCCATGCTTGCTCGAAACAAGCGACTATGCTTGTCGTAAAAAACGTTTAACGGGATACTGCTGAGTGCGGCATTAAACAAGCAAACACGGCAAGCTGCAATGTCGTCCTTATTCAGCAGTCGTAGCTTTGACTTTGTCTCATTTCCAGCCACATTTAGGTTTTCCTTTATATCGATATATTTCCAATATCTCTCCCACACAAATAGTATCCAGTTCAACCATGAAACTCGTGACGTGTTTCCGTGAAAATATAATTGGTGACCACAGACTTACTGAGAATTTGCGATATCAGTTGCCTTGGGGATTCCGGGTCAGAATTGGTTCCCAGCAAATGATGGTGGCCGTATGACCAAATGAACTTGGTAGTAAGGCTCGTTAACTTGGTTGTTTGCGTGTCATCATACCCCGACGGTGTTGATCATTGCTTACAATCACTTGTCTGGTCTAGACTCGATTATCGAGGTAAATATCATGTAAGCCAAGAGTGAAAATATATCATCCTCCTCCCCCCCCCCCCCCCCTCCCCCCCCCACCCCCCGTCACGAGATGAGAGAAACATGCTATTTCACGTGACATATGAAATATCATATCTATTATATAATTAATTTTTCTGTAGATATCTACCGGAAAATTAAATTATTTCATTACAAATATAAAACCTTGTAAACGTAAATTCTCCCTACCTGACACACAGGGACGGTTCACCATCCCTTGTATTTGCGACTTATAAACCTATTCATTGGGATCGCCGTTAAGTAAGATACTTCTTTCTATAGGCATTAAAACCTATTGTGAGGTTTTACTTTCCAGTCGGGTTAAATCTCATAAACAGGGACGTTGTAATGTCCCTGGGATATTATATAATCTCCCAGGGATATTATGTAATGTCCTGGGTATTTTATTAATACAACTTCCGTTCAGATTGCAACATATAATGAAATGTAAAATCAAATGACAAATGTTTTCTTTATATTCCCGAGGATCGAACTCGCAACCTTCATATCTGTAGCCCAGTGAGTGTACCACGAGGCTACAGAGGTGTTGATAAGCCTCACTGGTTTTTAGAATGTCCTTTTCAAGATCCGTACGCCAGCAACAGATATTTTATGCGCGTTTCCTAAGGTTCATGGAAAGTATGTTCGAAACATAAAAATGTTGATAAATGTTGATTTAAGTTTCTTTTTTCGGTTTATATGCATGGAAAAACACTTTCCCTCGGTTTTGGTAGACGGAGCATGCCCTGAGGGTCGCCCCCTTGGTTTTTTCCTCTCCCCAGGGCATGCTCTGTCTACCAAAACCTCGTGAGCGTGTTTTCTCCAATACTTAAAAAGTAGTTTCGTGTTTGCAAAATCTTAAAAAATAGAAACAAAAGTATTCAGAAATATTAAGGGTCACGAAAATTCTTTATCATACATTTCGATCTGATTACATACCAAATCAACTTTAACAAAACATATTCTTGAAAACTGGGAGACCGCAGTTGGAGGCGACATAATACACGCTGTTCAAGTAACAAAAATGGCGCTTTGCGAAACGAACAGTTTCGATTGAGTTCATGGGAAATTTACAGTTTATAACAAAACATTTTCGAGAGAATAACAAACGGCTGTTTACTCTGTCATTATTTTGGCTTGTCAATGTTGAACTAACGTAAAAAGAACAACAGTTTGCGTACGGGCTTGACACTTGGGTAGTGAAATATCAAGTGTTATGTTCACTGCAGTGAAATATCAAGTGTTATGTTCACTGCAGTGAAATATCAAGTGTAATGTTCACTGCAGTGAAATATCAAGTGTTATGTTCACTACAGTGAAATATCAAGTTTTATGTTCACTACAGTGAAATATCAAGTGTTATTTTCACTGCAGTGAAATATCAAGTGTTATGTTCACTGCAATGAAAATATTATTTTCTCAACTTCAGAAAACTCAGTCTTTCACACTGGAGTATATAATAACATATATGTCAAGTTACCATGGTTCCTTGGCAAGTGAGGTACATGTACCATATAGGAACAATATGCCGATGACAAAAATATCAACAAATCACATGTAATCAGGTGCTTCTTGATATGATAAAGGGATTGATGATATAATTACATCTTGAGTAACACAACAACATATCCATTAATATCGATCGATTGGTTCTTGTTTAAGACACCGCTGTCTTCCCTATTCTAGCTAAATTAGGCTGGCCTCTAAATAATGGTGGTTGTAGTGGGGGAATGTTGTTTAACGCCGCGTTCAAGATTCTCTAAATAATGGAATCCTGATTAGGTGAATGTGGGGCAGCCTAGTTCTTAATGCGTTTGTTCGTGAAGCCAAAGGCCCTGGCCGATTTTCCACATGGGTATAATGTGAGAATCCATTTCTGTTGTTCCAGGCCGTGATATTGCTGGAATATTGCTCAAAACGCCTTTAAACCATACTCACTCACTAACTCTACATTTATGTACAATGACAGGCAGTCGACCATGACACCGGGCCAGTTCTGCTCCCCAACCTTATTAGCCCTAACAAGGACGCTATAGGTTGTTTTTTTTAATGAAATGCATGTCAGTTATAATGTCCAACATATCATTGTGTCAACATAACCTTCCCCTCGCATGTCCCTGTAGTTATTTCTAGTGCTGTACATGCCCAGAGCACTCGGAGAGCATGTCAACATGGAACATCAGAACCTCTATACTTCAAGGACATTGGTAACAACGTACAGATTAAAATGTATATCTGTTTCGTTTCAATGTATTCCAATAAAAATGTTAAAAAACTTCCCTTACCAAAACTGTCCCTTTCGACATATATATATATATATTGTGGTGTTGGGATATATTATGACTATAACTTGATATTGACTGGAGATTTTATAGACAGTGATGCTACGTTAATATACGAGTATTCAGAAAGATAACAATCAGTGCTTCAATGGTACACCAACACTGCATGTCTTACTTTGACATCTGCTGCAAATGTTCATTTTAGCTAATTTAGCTTCTTTACCTTTTTTATTTGTTTGTTTGTTGTTTAACGCCGCACTCAGCACTATTCCAGCTAGATGATGGTGGTCTGTAATAATCGAGTCTAGGCCAGACAATCCAGTGATTGACATAATGAGCATCGATCCACGCGATTTGGATTGCATTCATTAAGCAAGTCATGGGTTACTGAAGACCTATTCTACCCCGCATCTTCACGGGTCCTATCTACAGTTATTTGTGTAACGCTCCCAAGGGATTCCTAGTGAGAATAAGGCGACTATGCTTGTCGTAAGATGTGACTAATGTGATCGGATGGTCAGGCTCGCTGACTTGGTCCCAATTGCGTGGATCGATGCTCATAATATCAATCACTTGATTGTCTGGTCCAGACTCGATTATTTACAGACCGCCGTCATATAGTTGGAATATTGCTGAGTGCGGCGTTTAACCACAAACAAAGGTGTGTAGCACTGTGTGACATTTTTAGTGGACTACATGGGTTTCCGTCAGTAATTACATGTACCCTGACTTCAGTTCCAAGCGTACGTTGGCAACAATGACAGCTCGTCCTTGAGAAGAACTCATGACCTGCATACACAGTTTTACGTAAAACACCCAGTCCAGCTGTTTGCATCATGGCTCTGACCCACACACCTCGACACACATCTTGGATACAGCACTACACGAGCAGATAGTGACTGGCGGGAGTCACACGTGCTGTATTTGTTTATATCCCGCACCGAAGTGGTGTATGGTGACATACATTCCGGGAGCCATCATGTCTCGATGATTGATTGTAGGGGGAAGAGGTGTATACGATGGGGATGTTGACGATCGTGGTGTTTAGACTTTCATCATTAAGTACAACACTGTAGAGACTTCATCCAACCTTTTTTCAGTTTTATTGCCAATGACAATGCAACTTAATGCTGTCAAGGAAGATACCCATGCACGTGGGTTTCACCAAAATGATGAAAGTCATGTTCGGGATGGTAGACTGCGTTGCTGCTGAACTCACTCACTCACTCACTCACACAGTCACTCACTCACTTGGAATCCCCGAGACGATGCATGTAACATGGGCCCATCCAGCAACGTCTCGTACAATGCGACTTAATGGATTAATGGAACGGGTGGTCAGTCTCAACGACTTGGTGGTTTGTGTGTCATCTGACCCAGATGGCGTGGATCGTTGCTGACAATATCAATCACTGGTTTGTCTGGTTTAGACTCGATTATTTAAAGGTCGCCATCACTTAGCTGAAGTATTGATGAG